CGCGGCGTTCACACTCGTCGCGCCGGGAGTGCAGAAACACCTGAAGCACAACGCGGGCGGACGCGTCGACCCGACGCAGAAACGCGTGATTCGCTTCGCGCCGAACGTGACGACGCTCGTCCTCGACGTCGGCGCGAAGGCGTCGCTCGCGTTCCAGCGCTCCGCGCGCGCGTTCGAGCGCGGCATGCTCGGCGACCCGGCCGTCGCCGTCGTCGCCTTCGAGCCCCTCGTCGAGAACATCGGCTGGCTCCAGCGCAACTGGTGGCGGCTGCCCGAGGACGTGCGGCGGCGGCGCCACGTCGTGCCCGTCGCCGCCGGCGCGGCGGACGGCGTCGCGCCGTTCCATTTGAGCGGCGCGCCCGCGTGCGGGTCGACGCTCGCGACGAGCCCGAAGAACCGCGCCGCCTGCCACGAGAGCCGCGCGGCCGTCGACGTGCCCGTGGTCGCGCTGGCGACGTTCTTCGACTTCGTCGACGCGAAGCTGCTCGCGCGCGGCCACCACGTCTTGAAGGTCGACGCCGAGGGCGCGGACCTCGACGTGCTGCGGGGGGCCGGCGCGGCGAACCTCCGGCGCTATTTCCGCGTCGTCGCGATCGAGTGCATGGTCGGCGACGGCGTCGCACACCACGTCGGCGAGTGCCGCGTGCGCGACGCGCTGGCCTTCATGGCCGACGCGTTCCCGCACCACCGGTGGGTCGCGCAGGGGTCCGCCGCGGCCAACGTGTTCTGGGGCCGCACGGCCGAGGACCTCGCCTGGGCGTCGTCCGCGCTGCTCCCGCTGCTCGACGCGTAACGTTGACAGAGGACCTCGCCTGGGCGTCGTCCGCGCTGCTCCTCGACGCGTAACGTTCACGACCAGAGGACCTCGCCTGGGCGGCGTCCGCGCCGCTCCCGCTGCTCGACGCGTAAGATTACGGGGGGGACGCACGCACTAGGTCAGGTTCGCCTCGGCCTTCTTCGCGGCGTACTCGTTCGGCACCGTGCCGAGCGGCGTCGAGTCGCAGTAGTCCTGGAGCCGCTTCATCATGGCCGTGTCGAGGCGCGGCGGCACGGGGTCCTTGCCCGTGATGAAGTTGAAGATGTCGATGGTCTCGCAGTTGAGGATGTCCTCGTACTCGTCGCACTCCGCCGACGTCAGCCCGTCGACGTTCTCGACGGCCCAGGTCCCGAGGAGCAGGTCCACCTCGAGCCAGCCGCGCTGCTTCGACCGGTAGATGAGCCGCTTCTTCCGCACGGCCTCGTCCGATGGCACGACGCGGTGCTGCGCCGCGAGCTCCCGCCAGCGGCCGCTCGCCTTCTCCTCGAGCTCGTCGCTGAGCCCGACGGCCTCGCCGCCGGCGAGGCGCTCGGGGCTGCTCGCGGGCGGCGGATTCGTCGTTTTTATGGAGAGCGCGCGCAGGCGCACGCTGCGCCGCGCGACGAGAGCGGCGCGGGACAGCAGCATGGCGAAGCTGTTGTCGAGGTGGCCTCGAGATCAGCCCGGAGAGCGGTGCAAAGTGGGGGAAACTTTGGCCTCGGCGACGCTTCCGCGCGCGCGCGTTAAGCGCGCGTCCGCGTCCGCGCTCGACGGGGTCGCGTTCGACGCGAGCCTCTGCGACGTGTCGTCGCGCATCGCGGCTCGGCGCGGTACGGCGACGGCTCGGCGACGCGGGGAGAGATCGGGT